CTCAGATCGTTATCGGGTCTACACCCATAATGCTATACTAAACGATGCATCATTAAGCAATAAATAGAGTTTGGATGTAGTTTGGAAGCCTAGACTTTGTAGTATGGTCGACGAACAGACAACTCACTAAAAACATCTAATTTGATGAAAAATATATACCAAATTATATTCTTAATTATATATTAATTAGTAATTATTCAAATATACTCAATACAAGCACTTTTAAGTAGTCAATTTTTTTTTATACTACTGCTCTTTCGGAACGCAACTCATCATAAGAAGAACCAGCAAGAAAGTTATGTGTTGCTCTTTTGAATAAATATTATTTTAAATAAATAATTACACAATATCAAGACAAACAGCGTCCTTTTCTTCATCAAAAAGTACTAAATATTTTTAATTGGAAGGTTATCATTAACCTAATGTTCAAATGAACATAAGGCCATGTCAGTTAACTCATCGTGACTAATATTCCAGGAATTTATCATGATGGTTTCCTGGGGTAACCGCATGAAGGTCAAGGTATATTGCTAGCAATGGCATTATTAGAATATATCTCATAATACCCTTAGCCGGGGGAAAGGGGACTGTTAGTAATGTGGACTGATGATCTTATTGCTAGCAATGTACCATGTCAGGTTGACCTCCACGCGGTTCCCTCTGGAAACCATCGTGATAAATTCTTGGTGAATTTGTCTAGATGGGCTAACTGACCTGACCTCATATGCTCATCTTATCATCTTCCACTGGTGCCCCGCCAGCGTAAACCGTTAGGGCAGGCGAGTGCACATTCCATTATCGTCCTTTAAAAAAAAACTAATGATATATATACTTAGATACATTATTGGAGTGCCATCTGCTCGCCCCCTATCGTCCGGTGAAGCTGTAAAGGCCAGCTGCGGCCAACCAAATTTAGAACTTCGGCAAGCTTCGGCAAATGTCAGTGTATGGGAATGGGAACTATATACTGTGTGAAATAGTTGATAAAAGTAAGGCATTGGAGTAGTCCGAAAAAAAGGGAACCGCGTGGAAGTCAACCTGATTGTACATTGCTAGCAATGATGTTACATCATCATCATCATCATCGCATCCCGGAAGACGTCCACTGCTGGACATAGGCCTCCCCCAAAGATCTCCACGACGATCGGTCCTGCGCTGCTCGCATCATGATGTTACATACTGCCTGGAAATCTGTAGTACAGGTTTCGACTTAGTTCAGACTCCAGACTCTCACAAGGAATAGCTTGTAAGATTAAATACATACTTTTGTTACTTTGTTCAATATTGTAAGTTTCCTTGTGAGCAGTAAATAAAGATTATTATTATTATACTTTTTATTATAGGCGAGTGCACCGTTCCATTATCATCCTTTAAAAAAATACCCTTTGCCCCGATAAATATGTATTCTTGACATTACATTCTATTTCGTTCCACTAACAGACATAAGAATGAATGTGAGTGGCCGCCTATAAGTTCCAGGCTTTAAGGGTAAGGTTATATTATCATACACACTACTAAAGTATCGAAACTTTATTTTGTGTTCAGAAAATATTTTATTTTCATATAAACTTTAGCAAACTGTGGTCAAACAAAGCGACGCGGCGTATATTGCATAAGCTATCTAACGTCGATTTAGTTTCTTACTACTTACTAGCGACATGCCCCGGCTTCACACGTCTATTTCTTTTAATTTAAGTTTGTGTACGAAATTGTGTGTCTCGCATTTGTAAACTGTGTTTCGCTTAGGTGGTAAGATATGGCAGTAACCGGAGAGCATGAGCAGTATCATAGGAGTTACATGAGAACCTCATGACATGGTGCTGTTCATAAATATACGATGGTTATTGCTTATCAAGAGGCTAGGCTTGTCTACAATTCTAGTTATAAATATATAAAAAAAATAATAAATAACACTGAACAATTAACGTAGCGCCATCTAGTCCCACGGTGAGCAGAGGTATAGCTACTAGATTTGTTATAGGTACTAGACATTTGATATATTTTTTATTTATTTATTTATTCAGATAACAGAGATCCAATTGTGTTAGTAACAATTGTACTTAGCCTATGTCAGTATATCTAAAATTACATATTATCATTTAAGGGTTTATATAAATACATATATACTTTTAATTGTAACTGCATACATAATATACATAGAAAACACTAAGACCGATACAAAAAATAATACTCATGACTACAAATGTTGATATCGTTTGAGGAATAAAACCCGCGAACATCGGAAATAAAGCGGAGTGCTAAACCGCTACACCATCGAGACCGTCAGTACTATAGAGGACCCCTCCGATCGATCCCCCATCCAATTCAAATGGGGATCGAAATTACGACGACCTGAGCCGAGATTCGAAGGTGCCCTCAGACTAAAGTCGTATCCGTCAGGCAGGAGTTGGCCTTCAGCCGCTCCATAAGTCCTTCCGCGGGTTTGGAGTGCCATCTGCACTCGCCCCCTAACGTCCGGTGAAGCTGTAATGGCCGGCTGCGGCCAACAGCATTAGAGTAGTCAGGAAAAAAAACTAGAAAGCGTGGTGGTAAGTAGATAAAACAATTACCCTCACCCCTGAGATAGAAATGGTCGAAAATTAAAATGGATTAAAGTTCTTCTGTTTTATTTTTCTTCAGGGAATATTGATATACTGTAAAGCACTAACGAGTTTAGCCCAGCATTTTGTCTCTCAATTTTGTTCCACGTTATCCATTTTCTTAGATTAAATATTTTTTTTCATTTTGTCTCTATTATTCTACTGGGAAATGTGAATAGAAATGTAATATTTATTATTCATTTTACTTATGGATTTATTTTCTTATTTCTTCTTTATTGTAATATAAAAGAAAAAAACAGAATTATTCAATGTAAAATTATGTTATACTAGCTGTGTTTGCGGTTATACCCGCTAGAAATTTATAGCCTATGTGTTATTCTAATGTGTGAGTTGTATTACTGTAAAGTTTCATCAAAATCCGTTGAGTAGGATTTGCGTGAAAGAGTAACAAACACCCATTAATCCATACTCACTAACTAATATACTATAATGTTAGTAAGATTTTACTTGTGGAATTATTTTCTTTTTATTATATATAACTTGAAATAAAACCTCGTATCAATCAATCAAAATCAAAATATCTTTATAATGTAGATAAATATTACAACTCTTTTGATATGTCAAATCTACCGTCAGTTCGTATTACTTTCGAGCTAAAAAGAACTGACAAGAAACTCGGCTATTATTCCTTCTAAATGAGTTTGTACATGTTTACAAAAATACAGATTCATTTTTAGATTCAAATTACCACCAAGCAGCCTCCGTTCACTAGTATGACGAATGAGTCAGCCATCATTCATTATAGTAAGTCTCGTCATAGTTATCACAATAACAAATTTATCAAATGTAACAATGGGGAAATAATGCCATTGCCATCTAAAATAAATATAGAAAAAGGAACACAGCAATTTAATATATGAGTAAAATATTATTTTTGAGTTCCAATAAAGAAATATTACTATTATTATTATAATCGGGGAATACTGTAATATTCTCACAAGGAATCTATGTAATCTCATACTCCTATACAATATACGCATATTCTGGTTACTAAATATTTTTCGCGAGTTTACCTACTACGTGGTACTATTTATTACCTATTCCCATAAGAAAATTTAAGATTTCTTACCTGCTCGTTACGTTATAAAATAAACTTCGTAACTGTTTATTCATTTATTGCAGTATCACAAAATATGAAGCGCATACATACAGAGTATGGTTAAGTTTTTACAATTGTTTTGTAAAAACCACCTTGAAAGGGCAATATGGTCCTATGTCACAATATTTTAGTTTTATATGTCAAATTTAAAACTATTGTATCCATTACTGTATATAAAATTTTGTATTCAAATTCAAAATATCTTTAGTATGTAATGTAGGTCTATTGCAGACTCTTATGATATGTCAAATCTACCTTCAGTTCGGAATACCGAGATGAGAAGAACTAACAAGAAACTGAGCTCGCATTCTCGTATAATTAATAAATACATCACAGATACTACGCAATGGAAGTCAATAATTATACTTAATACAAACTTACATAGGTACATGCAGTTGTGATTTTCGTTTTGTGTTTTGCTTGTGAATGAATGATCTAAGTACTGATTAGATCACGAAAATAAAAGAAAAATTTTTCGTATGATATTAGAAATCAAGGCGAAGGAAATTAATTGAAAAAATATTAAATATTTTATTATATTATTTATTTATTATATATTATTATTTTATTTCATATTTAATTAACCAAAACCTAGACTGGTTAAGGTTAAACATTTAATAAGTTTATTATTTAATTAATAATATTTTTATTACTATGAATTTTTAGTCAGTTTCTTAATCTTTTCAATTCATTTCCTTCGCCTTGATTTCTAATATCATACGAAAAATTTTTCTTTTATTTTCGTGATCTAATCAGTGGATACTCAATCATAGTAATATTCTTCCAAAACTGTAGTAAACCATAACATGTTCAAAATTAATTTTACAATAAAATAAAATATTTTTTTTTAAATCAGAATTATTATTAAGCTGTAAAATAAAACTTGCTTTTAAATATTAAAATTTTGAAAACAAATTATAGTTTAAGGCAAAAAATAAAATTAATCAGAAATCTTAAATAATTCCATTAAAATTAATAATAAAACACTATATTAAAACTCAAAATCATTTAATCATATAGACCTTTCGGCAGCTTAAATGCACTTTTCTTATTTTTAATCATTACCACAAAAAATCATTACATTTTTACCATATAAGAAATAATATCCAGTGAAATGTTTATTTATATAAATTATAAGATTATTTTAATGTCCTATTTATATTAACAATATTAGAGAAATTTCGATGAGGTTTAAATCACGTTAAGAGAAATTTGCATAAGAAATATTGTCGTAAGTACAATAAAAATATTAACGTCGACGCATGCTTTTCAAAACTAACCTGCAAAATTCAGAGGTCATCGCTTATTCCGGCGTGAAGAACTGTACATTTCTCGTTCTAATTACTACACAACACAGTATACACACACTATAGTACACTTAAAAACTATTTTACATATTTTAACATGCACACACAATGTTGGTAGGACGTAAATTTCAGGATCTACGGAGACCGCAATGTTTCGCCACGTAATATTCAAACGACAGATGTCGGAGAACTGAGTTACAGTCTACGGTATTGAGTGTTGCCAGTCTATCATCTTGATTTCCTTTCAAGTATTGCATAAACTCCCCCTAAATTATAATAGAAATAATTAATATATCTTCATTATTGAGGAAAAGTCAAGTACAAATAAGAGAAATAGAAGAAATGTCTGTAGTAGTACTAAAATCATACAATATTAAAGTTGTATATTAAAGTTGTTTTTGTTTTTTTAGTGTCCCAATCTTGTGGTCTTATTGTTTTTAGTCAGACTATAAATCCCAGTTGACATTTGGTCCCTTTAATTTACCGCATTGCCATAAAAATCTCCCAACTATGTGGGGATCCCTCGCAATTGGCATTACTGACGGTATCGTCCCAAACGCGCATACTCCAATGGGTACCAGAAAGTTAATCTTGTAATAGCGAGGGAAACTTTAGCGAAACATTTTGCACGAATTGGAATATCAACGGGTGCGGTTAACATAAAGTTTTGGTTTATGACTGGTATTTCTCTTTTTTTCCGCGCCGACTGTCAGAAGGACTGATGAGTTGTGTGGTCAGATCTTTAACTTAAAATGCTTGATGGATCATAGATGGATTTGTATAGAATAAGATTTTATCATTAATAGTATTTACAATGCTAACAACTTGCCTCTGCACCGCTCATGGGTAACTGGAGCTCATGCAAATACTACGAGGTTAACATCGCCATGTATACTTTTACTTCTGTATTCTGTACATTAAAATTATATAAACAAATAAATGAGACTGTGTCTATATTTTCAAGTTATTACAGAATCTGTTCTTAAATATGGGTCAATATATGGGGATACAGAAATACAGAAAGGCATACAGAAAGTTACGTAAATACTCACCAAATGAGGCAATAATTAATATTGTAAGAATTTTAAATATGTCTTCTATATTTTTTAGAAAAAATCTTTTATTAAAAATAAATAAAGTTAAATTCTACGCGGACGAAGTCACGGGTACAGCTAGTACATAACATAAATAGGAATACCCAGACCGATATAATCATATTCATGAATAAAATGAAATGCTTGCTTGCGAGGAATCAAACCCGCGACCATCGAAAGCGAGGCGGTGTCCTATACCGCTAGACCACCGAGGCCGTCAAGATAAAAAAGATGTTACGCAATTTTCAGAGCTGTTTTTCGACAGCTGACCTTTTGATGGTTATATTAAGTTTAACAAGCCGTTTCAGATATCTACTTTGTCAGTGACTTCGAAGACAGTAATCTAAAGAAATTCGAGTGTCGCAGATTGCCTACTGAACAGTCTGCTAGTCGGCGCGACCTTTAAGGTTGTCGTCGACGAGTAAAAGCAACGTCTTATCAAACTATAATATATATCATATAATAGATATAACTCAAAGGTGACTGACGTAGTGATCTATCAACGCACAGCCCAAACCACTTGACGTCTCGGGCTGAAATTTGGCATGCAGGTAGATGTTATGACGTAGGCATCCGCTAAGAAATCATTTTGATTAATTGTACCCCCAAGGGGATAAAATTGGGCAGGAAATTTTTATTAAACTTTGTCAATTTTAAACCGATCGGGTTGAGACTTTGCATGCATAAATGTACTATGACATCCCCTAAAGGGATAAATTAACGCGAGCGAAGCCGTGGGCAAAAGCTAGTATATCATATATATAAAATTCTCGTGTCAAAATGTTTATTTACCATACTCCTTCGAAACAGCTTGAACGATTTTTATTAAATTTTAAACTCATATTCAGTAAATTATGTTTTGAATTTATTTAGAAGTAATTTCAGAATATCCTTCGGTATCTTATTGTAAATTTTTATTCCCATTCCCATAAAAGTCCGATTGATTTTTTTAAAACAATACTTAGTAACAACAAGTTTGTCTTTAAGTCTAGTAATAATGTTATGAAATGGCTGTTTCTTTGATTTGTTTTGTTTGATTAAACTTTGTGGGTGTACACTTGTAGTTTATAGCTATAGTTCTTATGTAGTTAGTTATGAATGAATAAATAATTAATTAATGAAACCTCTTTATTGTTCCTCTCACAAAAAAAAATATTATTATATAAATTAATAACAAATATATAAAAACAACGCAATTACAATTCAGAGATGGGCGGGCTTATCACTAAATAGGGATTTCTTCCAGGCAACCTTGTGATGGAGAAGTATTTATTATTATTGTAAAAAAAATAATCTAAATTCTCCTGTAATATTCTTTCAGGATGGCTACTTAATATTCTTAACTAGTGACGTAGCGGGTTTTATAAATGACGTCGTGTACCAACTCAAAACGTAATCTAGTGGATCACCCGATCTCGCAGATCATGCATTAATGTGCTGTACAAAAAAACGTATCTTAGAAAAATGGTAATTCTAACAAGAATTTATAAAATTCAAACTAAATTTAACTTTATTGTAGAGAAAAATAGAGTTGTATTAATTTTTCATTCACGTTCTTTTTGGTCTCACCTACCACGAACGTTTGAAAAAAGGAAAAATATTTAAAGTGAGATGAACGTTTTTCGTGGAAACTTTATTTCTATTGTCTGTGAAACATGAAAATGCAGATGTCCATACTAATATTACGAATTCCAGAATGTCTGTCTACATAATTGTTACATTTTCACGGCATGGTCTGACGGATGGGATTAAATGAATAATAATTTAATAAAAAGATAGGCATCAGTGGTACATATGCTCAACTTTTATCTTAAAAAGAGCCGGCTGAATCATGGATAATAACTAGTATTTGAATGTGTCGGAACCAACTTTACAAATAGAAAAGATTTGTTGTTTTGTTCGTAATGGGTAATATAAAAAAAAAAATTTAGTAGTTTTTAAAATTTCTATAACCTTTGAAGACTGCATGAGATTTCACGCGGACAGTACCAGGGTACTTTCCTGTAATAATAACAATATACCATGGTATATAGTTAGTATTTTATATTACAACAAGGAGGTTGTATAAAATAGAGTATTGTAATAATGCAAAACACAAATTGATGAAACACTTTATACTGTTTATTATCATCTAACATAGCATAGCACATAGTCATTGCCAAAATGTTCAAATAGTCATTGCCTGTCTCTAGATAGGAAGAAGACTTTTTAATGATTTTTTGGGCCTTGAATACTTAGTCTAACATAGAGCCTTATCATGAATTGCAAAACCGTTTGCGGCAAACCAGAGTAACCCAACAAATTAATAATTCTAAACAATTTTCATTTCCTGCAATAGTTTTACACTCATTAATGCAACCAATCCCAACGACAGCCTGCGTTTAATTGATTTCACAATTAGTTCAACATTTGTTTGGAGCATCTCACTGCTTTGACCTTTGTCATATAAAAGTGCTGCGTTCATTTAAAAGTTGGTCCTCTGATCGTGACGTCTCCTTGTTTACGAGTTGGATCTGTTTTGGAGAGACACGTATGTTCCCAAAGTTAAGTTGATTTAACGTTGCATTATTTATACCGAGGCACACTTTGTGAAAAGTCTTGGGCACCTCAGTCTTACCTGTTTTAGCCGCCAAGTAGCTTACTTTGTAAGGAGTGTTTCAGTTTAGAGTACATTTTACAATGTGTGCCTCAGGCACTTTGTAAAAAGTCGTCTACTTGGGTACCTCGGTCTTACCTGATTTAGCTGCAAAGTAATTTGCTTTGTAAGCAGTGTATCGGTTGTAGAGTGAAGGATATACATGAAGACGATTTTTAATAAAGTGTATATTGGACACTTTGTAAAAAGTCGTTTACTTGGGTACCTCAGTCTTACCTGTTTTTGCTACGACATAGTTCGATTTGTATCGGAGTGTATCGGTTGTAAGTTGGAGGATATACAAGTAGACGTAAAAAGTCATTTTGTTGGGTACCTCAATTTTACCTACATCTTCCTATTAGTAGCTTGCTATCTTCAGTATTTTGTAGAAGGGAAATTACAGGATAAGAGGCATAACGTCTTAGTCCTCCATAGGAATGGCAAGGCATGAGTGGTATCACGGTAGGCACATGATAACGTGATATCTATCTGATATTCAATAAGCTTATGTCAATTATATAAAATGTATGTTATTTTATATAAGTTTGTCTGTTTTACATAACTGAGGATTGATTGTTCTGTTATTTGTTTAACAAAAACAGGCGCTTTCAATGACGTTTAAAGGAGAGCCGTATAACTCCAGAGCGGTGCCCCTTAAAATTCATATAAAAATAAAAATGATTAATAGAATGTTGAGATGGAAAATTATTTCCACTATAAATGAAACTTTCATTATAATTTCAAATATAAACATTTTGGTACTATTTATTTCATAACAACTTTTTTGTGGCTAAAAATATTGTTTTAGCCACAAAAAAGTTGTTATGAAATAAGTATGGGTTGGGTATGTTTTTTTATATTTAGAATTATGTTTTTGAGTCAATTATATAGTTACGTACATAAAATACAGTTGATGAAAGCCTCGTTGTGGAGCCAGTTTTGATGATGATGGTTAGGTACATCATTCAAACTCGACTTTATTAGTACAGTCATGATTTTTTTCCGGATTATTTTAATGCTGTTGGCGACAGCTGGCCTGTACAGCTGCACCGGACGATAGGGGCGAGTGCAAATAGCACTCCAAATCTATGAAAGGACTTATGGAGCGACTGAAGGCCAACTCCTGCCTAACGGACACGAGTTTAGACTGAAGACACCGCTAGGGGTTCGAACCTCGGCTCAGGCCGTCGTAATTTCGATCCACGTTTGAATTTGACGGGGGATCCAAATAGAAATGTTTATATTGTATACAGATAGAACCCACGACTACCAGAAGTAGAGCGCTATATTAATAATGTCTTAGGATACATTCACACAGCCGTATCTAGTTCCAAGCTAAGCAGAGCTTGAGTTATGTGTGCTAGACAACAGACAGAAATACAGAGATACTTTTTTTTGTGTAAATACATACATAATGTACACAGAAAACACTCGGACCG